CCTTCCTCTCTGTAAAAAAAATCAATAAAAGATATTATTAAAAAAATAAAAAAATCAGTACTTATTTAAGAATTTCTCCTGCCAAGCTTTAACCAATTAGCCCTGGCCAGGTGGCTCAGTCGGTTGGAGTGTCATCTCATGCACCTAAAAGGTTTCAGATTCGATCCTGGTCTGGTACGTATGGGAGACTACTGATTGATGTTTCTCTCTCTCTCTCTCTCCCCCCTCAAAAAAAAAAATCTTTGAGTGAGGATTAAAAAAAAAAGAATTAACCAATCAGACGTAACCTTATTATGCAATGTAACCAATAAGATGCAACTTTATTATATGATATATATGAATGGTTCAAGACAAAGCACCTACATAAGATAGCTTTTGTTATGTTGGCTGTTGTCATTTTTTAACTTGACAATTTAAGGGAAAAGAGGTCAGTGTTGCATATTTTAAAAATTCTTGCAGCACAATGGTTGAAAATTACTGGATACTATACGGAATTGCAGGGCATGAATTAGATTCATAGAGAGATGTTTTTAAAACATAATCTTGCCTTGGCCAGTGTGTTAGTGATATATATATATATATATATATATATTTCTTCATTTACTTTCAATCTATATGTGTGTTTATATTTAAAGTGGACAATATATATATATATATATATATATATATATATATATATATATATTTGGGTCTTATTTTTGGATCCACTCTGACAATCTCTGTCTTTTAATTTGGTGCATTTGACCATTGATGTTGAAAGTGATTATTGATAAAGTTAGATCAATACCTATGGTACGTGTTACTATTTTCTATTTGTTGGCCTTGTTCTTTGTTCCCTATTTCTTGTCTGCCACTCTTTTTCTGCCTTTTGTGGTCTTAATAGATTATTTTATGTTTCCATTTTATCTCCTTTTTTGATATATCAGTTATTCTTCTTTTTAAACCTTTTTAGTGGTTGCCTTAGAGTTTGCAATATACATTTACAACTAACCCAAGTCTACTTTCAAATAACAGTATACAACTTCACTGGTAGGGTAGTGTGAGTACCTTATAATAATAAAATAATCCTAGTTCCTCCCTCCCAACACACACACACACACACACACACACACTCACTCACTCACTCACTCACACATGTAAGGTATACTAATATACATAAGCACACACAATTGAATACATTGTTACTATTATTTTTGAACAATTGATAACAATGGACTTTGGTTCCAGTGACTGTCTCTATCCCCCTGTCTGTTCCTCCAATCTTGGCAGCAGTGGTTTGCCCAGTTTCCTCAACTATCTTACAGATTCCAGAAGAGTTGTTGATTTTTTCAATCTGTTCAGCTCTTCACTTGTTAGGACGGAGTGGAGACTTCCAAGCTCCTTACCTGGGGAACCAGAAGTCAACTTAAGAATCTTTATCTAGTCTGGAGAAGGAGGAAAGCAGGGAAGGCTTCCTGGAGAAGGTGACCTCTAAAAAAACCAAGCAGGAGTTACACAGGTACAGGTAGAAGGAATGATAGATTCAAGGAGGAGAGAGCATGCTGAGGGGGAAAGCTATAAGAGGCAGAGTTGATTAGAGCTTAGACATGAGGATGGCAAGCGTTGAGAGATCAGCTATAGAGGTGGGCTAGAGACAGGCTGCAGGTTCATATGGCATTGACCTTGAAGACATCTTGTGAAAACGGACATTGAGATTCACAACCCTGACACATCTCCAAAGAGCTCGGCGCGTGACAGGCATCCCTGACTTCATCCTCACGGCGGCCCCTGTGATGTCCATCTGCAAAGTGCTTGAGATAATATGGCGTGGCTTAGGGCACTTTGCTGCTATTAAGTGCCCACATAAATGGCAACGTATTGGCTCCAAGGTTTGATTTCCTATTTTTCTTTCCATTTGTGTGTCACCTGTAATTAGGGTTCCAAAGTGCTCCGTGCACCAAAGTGCTCAGAGTGATTTTTCTATTGAAACAGAAAGAAGAGGAGACACTTTGCAGATTGCAAAGTGGAAAAGACCAAGCAACTCTCTCTATCTCCTGTGTGGGCACTTGTGTTGATTTATGAGACCTACAATAACATCCCTCACTTTTTTTTTTAAAGGAGTGGATTTATCTTTCTCTCTGCTACTCGTGTGTATGTGTGTGCACGTACGCATGCTCCCATGCAGTTCTTTTTTTTAAAAAAAATATTGTATTGATTTTGTACAGAGAGGAAGGGAGAGAGATAGAGAGTTAGAAACATCGATGATGAGAGAGAGTGATCGATCAGCTGCCTCTTGCACACTCCCCACTGGGGATATGCCCACAACCAAGGTACATGCCCTTGACTGGAATCGAACCCGGGACCGTTCAGTCCCCAAGCCGACACTCTATCCACCGAGCCAAACCGGTTTTGGCATCCCATGCAGTTCTGCCTCTCTTTATTACTGGCAGCCTCAGCAGCAACAGATATTTATTGAGCATCTATTACGTTTGGACACAAACTCAGAAGTGCCTGTGCCTGATCTTAGCTCCATCATTTGGGGATTAAGTTGTTCATTCATTCCTGTAACTGACAATTACTGAGCACATCCTAGCACCAGGCTTTGTTCTAAGGGCTGAGAACACAGGATGAACTTGGCTTGTCTGTGGAGGTTCCATGTCAGCTGAGAGCTGAGGGGTGAAGGGGGCGGCAGCATTGAGGAATCGTACGGGGAAAGTGTTCTAGGAAGGGGGAAGTGTGTACAAAGGCCCTGAGATGGAAAAGGGCTTAGCTTCTTAAGACCACAGAGAGGCCAAAACCGGTTTGGCTCAGTGGTAGAGCCTCGGCCTGCAGACTGAGGGGTCCCGGGTTCAATTCCGGTCAAGGGCACGCACATTGGTTGCGGGTACATCCCCAGTGGGGGGTGTGCAGGAGGCAGCTGGTCGATGTTTCTCTCTCATCGGCATTTCTAGCTCGCTCTCTCCCTTCCTCTCTGTAAAAAATCAGTAAAATATATTTTAAAAAAAAATACCGCAGAGAGGTTTGAACCGGAAGGTGTAAAACACACACTGAAACCTCACACACAACTCGTGGGCAGGTCAAATGGCTCAGGATTTGAATAAACAGGATGGCAGTGCCTCAAATCAGTGGTCGGCAAACTGCGGTTCGTGAGCCACATGCGGCTCTTTGGCCCCTTGAGTTTTTATCAAAGGCCAGCTTAGGAGAACCCTAATTAAGTTAATAACAATGTACTTACCTATATAGTTTAAGTTTAAAAAATTTGGCTCTCAAAAGAAATCTCAATCATTGTACTGTTGATATTTGGCTCTGTTGACTAATGAGTTTGCCAACCACTGCCTCAAATCATTAAACGTGATTAAAAATGATTTAACTCACATCATTTTCTTGCCCTGGTGTTCGCCACATATTCGTGATCCCCAATGAAGTGTGATTGTCCAGTTCTGCTCACAAGAACCAAGGGGGTTTCCTAATGTAAATTGAAGAGAGTTTTGTCCTAAATCATGGATTGTTCAAGAAAGGACTCCTGTTGGGTTTGAAGGCTATTGAACTAAACTTTGGCTTTTTTGTTGTTGTTAATCCTCACCTGAGTATTTTTTTCATTGATTTTTTTTTTTTTTGAGTGTGGAGAGAGAAAGAGAGAGAGAGAGCGAGAGAAAGAGAGAGGGGGAGATTATAAATGTCAAGAGAGATACATGAATTGGTTGCCTCTCCCATGCACCCCACCATGGCCGGGGGTCAGGATCAACCGCAGCCCAGGCATGTGCCCTTGGCCGGGAATAGAACCTGTGACCGGGAATAGAACCTGTGACCACTTGGTGAGCAGGTTGGTCCTCTAACCACTAAACACATCGGCCAGGGCACAACTCATGCTTTTAATAAAAACACTTTTCTTTTAAAAAGTGGAAATTGTTGCTAACAATAAAAATAAAGATACTGAATTTTGGAAAATCTGGACTAAGATCCAAGACTTGGGTGGAGCTGAGTGTTGGTTTCCTACTCCAAATGGGCAGCCAGGAACCCCAATCCACACCTGGCCCACTTGCCTCATTTTTGCCTTCTGGAGTCCCCTGTAGGCATTTGGGTCTGTGCTCACCGCACGGAAAAAAGCTTAGAGCACTAGTTAAGTATACAATTTTACCTATATGTTCCCAAAAATTCTAGTTTAGCACTTCTTAGTTGGGATTCAGGAATCTGTATTTTAACAACTCCACCAGGTGATTCTCATCATGAGAGAAGTTTGGGAAACACTGGCTTAAAAGATAGCCAGGTCTTAATCGCTGGAACCTGTGGGTGTTACCTTAAATGTTCAAAAGGCTTTTGCAAGTGTGACTGAATGAAGGATCATGGCATGTTGCAAGTATCTTGGATTATCCAGATGGGCCCAATGTCACAAGCGGCCTTACAGGATGGAGGCCGAGGGAAATTTGAAGAGAGAGAGAGCTGAGAAGGTCCTGTGATGACTGACATCCTTCTTAAAGTTAATCCCTCCATCCACACGCCTGACCTTATTTTATTACCTTGTATTTATTTATTTATTTATTTATTTATTTATTTATTTTTGTACCACTTACTACTAACTCAAGCATTCATATTCACTAGTTGGATGAATTAAACGTGATTCCCACCCCTTGAAGGCAAACCCCAAGATGGGAAGGATTTTTTTTTGGGGGGTGGGGGCGCGGCGTAAGGGTTGGAGGAGATTTAAATGCTGTATTCTGAGCGCCTGGCCTATAATAGTTGCTCAATGGATGTCTGAATGAAGAAACAGTGCTCGACGCAAAGTCTGCGCCTGGCGAAAGCCACAAGCGGGAAAGCCGAGGAGCATCAGGTTCATGGCACTGACCTTGGCCCGGGGCGCCTCCAGCCCATTGCAGGTGACAGCAGCGGGGGCGGGGCCGCCTGCCCGGAACCCGCGTGCAGCCGGCTGCGGTTTCCGGCCGCGGCGGACACTTCCGGCGGAGGGACCGTCCCGTGGCACCCGGCGCTGCAGAGGACGACGCGGAGGGCCGGCCGCCGGGGCCATGGACCACCACAGCCTGGACGAGTTCCGCCGGCGCTGGCAGGAGGAGCTGGCGCAGGCCCAGGCGCAGAGGAAGCGGCGGCGGCCCGAGGCTGCGGAGCGGCGGGCGCGGCGGCCCGAGGTGGCCCCCGGGCGCGGCGAGCAGGCCTCGGGGTACCTGGCGCTGGCGCAGGGCCTGCTGGAGGGCGCGAGCCGGCCCCCGGCGGCGCGGGCGGCCAGGGCCGAGAGGCAGGACGCGGCGAGCCGCTCCCGCTCCCCGCCAGCCCGCGACGGGGCCGGGGGCGCGGAGCAGCTGGTGGACCAGCTCATCCGAGACCTGGTGAGTGGCCGTCGCCTCCGGCCGAGGCCAGCCCCGGCCCCACCCCCCGGTACAACCTCCCAGGGAAAGGAACTGTGTGCCGCTTGTGTGGGGAGAAAAACGAGTGAGGTTCCACTCGTCCAGGATCTCCCGAAGCAGTGGTTCCCATCCGGGGCGACTAAACGGGAGTATGGAGGGGCGTTGCTGCGGGCAGAGGCCAGGGATGCTCAGGAACATCTTACAACGCACAGAGCAGCCTTCGCGCCCCAGTTATCTGGCCCCAAATGTCCGTGAAGCATAAGACCGAGGTATTTTGCTTTAGAGGGATCCCTAAACTTTTAACGAGGTCACCTTTAGGGAAGAGGACTAGGACGTGGGTAGGAAGTGGTTTTGACTGGTCTCTGAATGCTGCTTGCACTATTCAAGCTTCAACTGCATACCGGTATGTATTACTTGGACAATAATGAAAAAGGAATAATCCTTCGGGGACTATCATTATTAGTATGGAGGCTTTATCATTTTGTTGGGTATGGGTCTCTCTGTGAAACTGGAGGAAGATGGGGAGCCTTACGTCTCCTTCACTCCCCCAAAAACCCTCTTCTCTCCCCAAAAAGCCCCCTTTACCCAGTGGGGATAAACAGGATCACCAGAACATATTCATGGTTAAGAGAACAAGGCAGCAAGTTTTAATGGTTCTTTAAAATAAGGGTTCTGTTATTGGCAAGCTGATTTGGTGAATGACGGCTTAATGGTTAACATGTTATGTAGTTATATTCAAATACTATTAATAGCCGTGAGTTTTCACCAGGTGTCTGGGTCCTGTGCTCTGCTTTATCTCTAAGGCTAGAAAGAACCTTTTTTGGTGTATGTTATTGACCTCATTTCATGTGACAGTTCTGACACATGGAAATGCATGCTGGCATCACTCCTGCTTCTGTAGGAAACGGGTCGTCCCTGAAGTCTGACAGATACAGAAAGAAAACCAGTGCCGTGGGAAAAAGGCTTAGCCCCCGATGAGGTGCTCAGGTCAGTCCAGGTCTGTGCAGAGTTGTTGCCACGGAAGTACATAGGTTTGTAGGCCGAGGCAAGACCAGCCCTTGGGAGCAGAAATAATCTGGAAATCGGATTATTGGGTAAGGTGACCAGACGTCCTGCTTTTGGCGGGACAGTCCCGATTTTTAACAATTCGTCCTGCGTCCCATAGCGTTTGAAATAAGTCCCGATTTTTGGACGCGGGACGAATTGTTAAAAATCGGGACTGCCCCGCCAAAAGCAGGAGGTCTGGTCACCTTATTATTGGGACAAAGGCAAACCCGTGGCCTCGCAGCTGAAGTCCTGTCCTCTGAGTATGACAGTGTCTTCAGGCTGCACAAGCCTGGGCGGTAGCATAGTCAGTCTTTTAAAACGGAGGGAACTCAAAGAGGTTTTTCTGCCCTTGGCCAGGCATACCCAGCTGATAATGCCAGGGATTGCATTCAGGTGCAGGCCTGTTGGGCTCTACATTGCACCAGGTGGCAGTTTCCCAAACTGGACTTGGTATAAGAAATACTTTAGACCAGTGGTCGGCAAACTCATTAGTTAACAGAGCCAAATATCAACAGGACAACGACTGAAATTTCTTTTGTGAGCCACATTTTTTAAACTTAAACTTCTTCTAACGCCACTTCTTCAAAATAGACTCGCCCAGGCCGTGGTATTTTGTGGAAGAGCCACACTCAAGGGGCCAAAGAGTTGCATGTGGCTCGAGAGCCGAGGTTTGCCGACCACTGCCTTAGGCTTTATTAGAGGCTGGGTTCTGCAGACTGTCCATTCTCAGAGGGAAGGTGTGGGTGGGAAGAGATCAACCAAAGAGCTTGTATGCATATATGCATAACCCATACATACAGACAACAGGGTGGTGAAGGCCTAGGATGGGGTTAGTGGTGGGCTAGAAGGGATCAGTGGGGGGAAACAGGGAGGCATGTAATACTTTCAACAATAAAGATTAAAAAAAATAAAACCTGGGTTCTGACCCCTCCCCAGACCTGCTGCCTGTCATTGAGCAGAGAAGGAGCCCAGAAATCGGCCGGTTGGGACCATCAGGCAGGTGTTGAGATACTCTCTGCTGTACAGCTTCTTTGGTTTGAGGTCCTGATTCTCAAGGCTTTCCAGCCCTAACACTAGTGAGGGGTAGGCATTGATACCAAAAATAGTGGCGTCCTGCCGAAACCGGTTTGGCTCAGTGGTTGAGCGTCAGTCTGCGGACTGAAAGGTCCCGGGTTCGATTCCGGTCAAGGGCATGTACCTTGGTTGCGGGCACATCCCCAGAAGGGGGTGTGCAAGAGGCAACTGATCGATGATTCTCTCTCATCCGACGTTTCTAGCCCTCTATCTCTCTCCCTCTCTGTAAAAAAAACAATAAAATATATTTTTAAAAAATAGTGGCGTCCTCACTGAAGTATTCTAGAAATGGGAGGGACATGCCTCCTGGAGGATGCAAGGGCACATCAGAAGCTAAGTGTCATAAGTAGTTGTGAAAGCTGTCCTGGAACCAGGGTGTGATCTCTGCTCCCCCCAATCACTACATTAGGTCCTGCGAACCTCCGTGTAGTGCACAGCTGTGAGCAGCAGCCAGCCGTTGGGGTACCTCTAAATTTATTTTTAGTATTTTGCAATCAACAGTGACACTGCTATAAGTAAAGTAATACAGGCGGTCCTCGGGTTATGTCGGACTCGACTTACAGTGTTTCATGGTTATGTCGCCATTTCCGATTTACAGTATTTATTAAAAAAAAAAGTTCCGTCATTTTGATGTATGTACATATGTGCTTTATGTTTTTTATTATTTATTTACCACAAGTAAAGGTCAGGAATTGTTATCTTTTACATTTTTCGTTTTTACTGTTTCACTTCATTACTGCTGTGTCTGTGCTCCCTGTGAGTGACGCAGGTGCTTATGTAGGTGGGTTCCGACTTACAGTGAAAATTGAGTTACATTGCGCCATAGAAACAGATCTCGTCATAACCTGAGGACTGCCTGTAATTCCTCGTGGTGCCTACATGCTGTCTCCTTGGTTCTGTCTCAAAGGTGTAGAGACCTCATTATCTTCTTCAGCTCGCCCAGTAACCCTCTCCGGTGGCCATTGTTAGCCCCATTTGGCAGATGAGCGTGAGGAAGGTAATTGATTTTTTAAAACATTTCTTTATTGTTTTAAGTATTACACGAATTTCCTTTTCCTCCCTCTGACCTCTCCCCAGCCACCCCTTTCGCCAAGCACAAGCCCTCACCCCCCTACTGTCTGGGTCCATTGGTTTTGCTCATACGCATGCATACAAGTCCTTTGGTTGATCTCTTACCTCCTCACCCCCCACCTTCCCTCATAGGTTGTACAGTCTGTTCGATGTGTCCGTGTCTCTGGTTCTAATTGTGTACATCAGTTTATGTTGTGCATTATATTCCACTAATGAGTGAGATCATGTGATACGGTAATTGATTTTTTAAAGGGGTAGTAAGCCCAATATTTTAAGTCTGAGAAATTATGGTAACCTTTATAGAAAAGGCTTTGACTCATAATTCATTGGTCGTAAGCCTCAAAGCCCACAGAGATCCGACTGGTAATACAGATGAGTAACGTAGTCTAGGTGTTGCTGATTGTGCCCTCTTCCCCTAATTCATCAGATGGTGGTTTGTTGTGCATCTTTCCCAGGTTCCAGCCATACTTCTGTGATGATTTGTTTCATAATGGCTGTTGTGGTTTTTTGTTTTTGTTTTTATCACATTACATACTGTACTGTAGAGTTTGTCTTTCTGATAGCCCTAAACTAGGGAAAATACTTAATCATTTTTCTTGATGCATGGCCATCCTCTTGGTCTTCTTGTTCCACTTTTTAAAGTTTTTGCTTTTTAAATTAAACCTTTTATTGAGGTGTACAGATCATAAATGTACAGCATGGTGAATTTCCAAGAGTATATATCCATGCAAACAGCACCCAGGTTACAGAACAGTATTACCAACTTGTCAGAACCCCGTGTTTGCTCCTTCACAATGAGGCATGTCCCCAAGGGTAACCACCACACGACTCCTAACACCTGCTTTTAGTTTTGTCTGTTTCTGAACTAGAAGTGGAATCATGAGCATGTATGCGCTTGTGTCCGGGTTCTCAGGCACAGCATCATGTATAAGATTTGTCCCTAGGGATATGCCACATTTTATTCTAATGTTGATGATAACTAGTTTATTACTAGCCAGTTTGAGACTCTCAGGAATAGTGCTGCTGTGAACATTTTCTACATCTTTTGGAATGTATACTCATTTTTCTTGGGCTTAACCCTGGTTGTGGAGTTCCTGGATCATGAAGGATGCATATGTTCAGCGTTAGTAGATATTGAGCAACAATTCTCCAAAGTGATTGTGCTGGTTTTCTCACTCATGAAAGTAATTCAAGTATGTGGATCATTGTATTTCATGTCGTCTTTGACATAAATGTAACAACACCTAACCAAGACTACACCACTTGACCCCAACATGGGCAGGAGAATAATGACAAGCTGGGAAGTTCATGCTATGGCTTGGGTAAAGGTGGAGCCTCTGCCCATGTCATCTAATCGTTGCCATGTAGGAATTTGGGTTCAGTGTTGGCCATCTTCAGATTTTTGTTTTTAAATTAGGAATATTTACTTTAATGTGGACTCTTTGTTTTTGTTGCACAAAAATACCCCAAACTTTGGCCTAACACCATGTTGCAGAGGGGCAGTGTGGGCGGGGCATGGATGGGCTCACTCGTGTCTGAGGTGATCTGCTGCTCGCTTTGCTAGCTGTTGGCTCTGTGTGTGTTTGTGTCTCATCATTCAGCAGGTTAGCCCTAGGTGGGCCTTTTCACAGCTAAGAGAGCCGAAGAGCGGCAAGCCCCAGTGCTTTTGAAGTCCCCGCCTAGGTCATGTTTGTTATCGTCAGATTGGCCAAAGCAAGCCATGTGGCCATGTCTGAAGTCAAGTGTAGAGTTAACCCAATTGCCTGCAAATAGGGAGCATGAACAGAGTC